GTGAAGGGCTGCACTCCATGCTGGACAAAAAGGATGACACCAATGCTGGCCCCAGTGCCTAAAGGACCATGGCTAAAGGAAATGGTACCTGGGGAACTGAGTGGGGGGTTGCAAATTGGAGTGGTGTGGATCCAAGTGAGGTGCATGGTTGGCCATTCAGTGAGGTGCCAAGGCTGCTTTGGTTTCAACAGTAGATGTCCTAGCTGTGCCTGGTCCATCTTTTCCATTGGAGGTACAGGAGAAGCAGCAGCTGAGTAACTGTGGTGGCTTGGAAAATGCTAGAAGGGGGAGACGAGAAGAAAAAAAAGATATGGGAGAGAGCTTTCAGATTAACTGCACTAGGTTGCTTAAAACTTTTCTTTCCTTGGGGACTCTGTTTGCAATGCAAACATACCTAGTTTTATGCAACAGCTCATTTTCTGCCAGGCGACGATTAAAAGTTTTACTAACCCAGTTATACTTTCATTTACTTAACAAATACTTGAAGGCTTTTATGTACCACACACTCTATCAGGCACTGGACATCCAGCAGGCAAAACAAAACAAATAGTCCCATAGGTTCTCACTATTTATAAAATAATTCATTTTATAACTTCTTTTTTAAAAGTCTATTTTTAGGGGCGCCTGGGTGGCTCAGTCGGTTAAGCGGCTGCGTTTGGCTCAGGTCATGATCCTGGGGTCCTGGGATCGAGCCCCGCGTCGGGCTCCCTGCTCAGCAGAGAGCCTGCTTCTCCCTCTCTGCCTGCCTCTCTGCTTACTTGTGCTCTCTAGCTCTCTGTCAAATAAATAAAATAAAATCTTTAAAAAAAAAAGTGTATTTTTAGTTGGAATCATCATTCTCCAATTTCTGCATTTTAAATTTTAATTTCCCTTTGTTGAGTTTCTCAAGAAATGTAAATTAATATGCAGGCAAGATCCTCTTGCCTATTTTTGAATGAGTTATTCCCACAGCAATAATAACTGTGGTTGATTGAATACAAGAACGACTGTCCATTATCTATAGGAGACTTTACCTTCCCTGTAATTCGAGTACCCCATAAATACCCTATTGTTTGAAGGCACAAAAAATAGGTCACTTCCAAATGGGTCTAAGAATCTATCCAACACTCCTTCTATGGGTGCCCCATGGGTGCCCTCCTCCCCTCCCAGTGATATATTTGCTATGACCAGTCCTTGAAGCCCACGCTTCCAGAGAGTTTGGTACAAGGATACTTGGGTAGGAGTAAGAAGAGGAAGAAGGAAAGAATTTTAGGGCAACAGAGGAGAAAGGATTTGTAGAGAAAAGCTAAGGACTCTTCCTGCATGACTCATTTGGCCAAGCAAAAAGCCTTCTGTATCTATGCAGAAAGCAGATCAGCTGCACATGAGGGATAGGGTTAAACTTCATGGAGTTCTTTGTAGTGATCAGAACAAAAAGAGAACAAAAACCATACAGGAATCAAGACAATGAAGGAAAGTGAGGCATTCCCTCCCCTGAAAAGAAACCTGTTGGAAAAGAGGAAAAGACTCAAGAGAAAACAGAAGAAGGAACCCATTTCTGCAGGTACACTTCGTTTCCTTATATCCCCGTCTCCCCCTCAGTTTTATAAGTTCTTACCTTGGTCAGCTGGTGCCTGCTATTACCCAGTGATGACTTCTGGGCAGCTATATGAGGAAACCAAGTCTTTAACATCCCTTCTACCTGTAGCAAGGTTCCTAGGTAACGTTCCCTGTGAAAAAGACATTTCTTTAAAAAGCCATTAAGTGTGAAAAACCAACAAGACAAGATTGTACATATCTCCTTTTTTATGAAGTACTGAGGAAAGAACCAGGGGAACTTACCCCATCTGTGGCTTCTGCAAAACGCCTACAATACGCTGGATTCTATCCATTGCCACGCTCTGCTGGAAACTGCTCAATCCTGGGGTCAGGGAGAGAGAAAGACATCAAGGATTGAGATTCAAGAATTTAGTCAGGTAAAGGAAGGAAAGAACAAGGTTAAAATAAATTCACCTAAAGAAATTAAACCACAGAGGCAGAAAAGTAATAATGTAGGCTGTGAAGATTTAAGACAAAGACACATTCAAAACATTGAGAGAAAGAGAAAGAGATGAACCTAGCCAGATAATTGCAACTCATCAGATAATTACCTCTCTCAAATCGACCCATCTTCAGCCCATTCAGTAGGTCTGTGAGAGGGCGGATGAATCCTTGAAGCTCTTTACACTGTAGGAAAACAGTGTAAAGGCGATGAGAGGACTGGGAATTGCCCCTACAGTACTGTTCTTCCCCACCTCCAAATCTGGGAACCAACACTCTCTTCATTGGGTCCTTACTAACCCTCTGGGTGCTAAGCCATTCCACTATTGTCGACTTTACCCTGCTTTCTCTTACCTTCTGAGCAAAAAGCAGGTCTCCTTCTGTGGTACAACCCTGGACGATCATGTTGGTCTGTAATCCACCATCTCTTGATCTTTTGACCCCAGGTCCTGCCATGGGAGAGGCCAGGCCCCGCTGTTCCAAGTGAGATGCTGTATGTTGGTTGCTGGAAACCTTGGGCCGTTGCCTGCACCGGATAGGACCGGGGCTGGGCCGAGAACCTCCCCTTTGCCCAACAGGGTCTGACCTGGGGCCATGGGCAGCCTTGTCCTCCCCCTCACTATCGGAGGGGAGGCCAAAGTCACTGTTCCCTGGGGAGGTGGAAAAAGAGGAAGAGAGAGAGTAGGAAGAACAGGAAGAAATGCTAGCTGGAGAATCCATAGGTTCAGAAGCAGGAGCTGGAGAGCAAATCCCGAAGTACCCAACGATCGGAACCTGCAACTGAAGAGCAAAGCGAGGGAGTGTGTAACCATAATCTGGAAATTAGGAAATGGACCGGGAGACTGGGGTGTACTGTGTGGGACGATAATACCTCTTCTCCCCAGCATTACATGTCTCAGAGACAATAGAAAAAGTCATCTCCCCGCCTGCCCCCCTCAATTAAAAACCTGGACTGCCCCTCCGGCCTCCGCAGAACAGCTTCTTAGTCTGACACAGACTCTTCTTCTTTACTCCCCTCTGTTCAGAGTAAATCACCCAACTTGACACCTTCCCCTGACAGTTGTTCGCCAGGTCTGTTCCCAGCCTGACCCCGCAGCGACGGCTACTGGAGAGCCCTAAATCTCCGGTAACCCACCCAGTGACCCTGTAGGGACCACTCCCCACAGGGACCTCACGCCTCTTCCCAATCTTTCTGATCCGGATCCCTGAGCCGGACCCTCTACAGTCGCGCCTGCCACGTGATGCTATCCTTCCCAGTACCAAGATCTGCTTTCGGTCCCTAAACCTACCCCCTCCGGGTCTGATCCTCTCGCGCGGATCGCTTCCTTATCCTGCAAGCCTCCTCACCTGTATCGGTCGGCTCAGCCCAGGCTGTCTCCTTGCTCCTTCTCCAACTCTGCGGGTCTCGGCTGCCCACCTCCGCCTCTCTCCCACTGGGTCCCGCCCCTTCCCCCCTCCCAGACACGTGCGGCTGGGCACGTGCCTTCCCCCTGCGTACACAGACCTCACACCCTCATTGGTTGCCTAGCCGGTGGCACGTGACTCTTGTTACTGAAGTTCACATCCCATTTGCTACAGCCTGCAGAGGCTCGGCCAATAGAGACGCTGGTAGGTGACGATTGGCTGGAAGGGAAGCATTCCGTGCCCCGCCCCTACATGCGGCTGGCGAACCGGACCCGGTGATGAGAAAAGGAGGAGGATGGAAAAAGAGTGGAAAAGGGCGGAGCCCGAGGCCTTAAATAGGATGATGGTGGGCAGGAGACGTGCGGTTGGAGTGTGCAGACTGGTTGTGCGATCTGAGGCGCGCGTGTTGGGATGTGGGACTCCGGGCTCCTCCTCGGTAGCAGACGCCCGCCTCCCTCCGCGGCCCCCCTCCCGTTTGAGCGCCTCCTCTCACGAGGGCAGCACGTGGAAGCCGTCAGCGACTTGGGTCTGCAACGTGTGTGAGAGAATGGATGTATGCCACTGTGTATCCTCTCCCCCTCTGGGCCGCGCGGCCTTCGTGACTCTCGGGTCTCTGCTTCACCCTCTCCGCCTCCTCCTTCTACAAGTTGGGTGCCTCCTGCCCTGCTGGGTGAGGAGGGTGGGGACTGCTGCCGAGAACACCGCGTCCTCTCGCGCACTCCCACTGGGGCGGCTCCGGCCCTTCCCTTACATAACCCGCCACGCACGTTACCAGCTCAGATGCCAGCCAGCCACGACTCTAGAGGTCAAAGCCGAACTCGGTTGTTCCTGACTTTTCTATCCGGGGTCCTCGGATTCCTAGCGCAGGGAAAGGAGTATGGGTAGGTCCCTGATTTCCTAGATTATACCTTTGTCCAGCTTCATTTCCTTTATTTGTTCCCTGGAGAAGATTCGAAAGGCTTGGAAGGAGGGAAGGTGGCAAGTCCGGAGTTGACAGAGTCCGGAATTTACTATTCAATGCCCCTCGCAGTACTGAAAGTACAGTGAGGCGAAGGGGATAGGGGCTCAGGGACCGTGGGCTGATTGAGGCTGTGACACCGAAGAGACCGCAAGGGGGCAGCCCAGTTCTGATTAGGGTCTCGGGGACAGAGGGAGAATTAAAGTATGTCCCTGCCTGCCCTAATTACACGCTGGAAAAGGCACATTGTTGGGGGTTGGGGGTGTAAGTGGAGGAGGGTGTGAGTTTTTAAGATCTATTCTAAGTAGTTTTTAATATTTTACATATGTTTAACAATGTGCTTATTTTATAAAAAGAAAAAAGTGTTCTACATAAACCTCAACTCTTTTCCCACAGTCTCAACACCATGTGTAATAAAATATTAGAATTAGATGAAGTTAACTGTCTGTTGGTGCTCTTCTCCATTCTTCACAACATTTCAGGTTTATTCACAGTCCTAATTATTCCCTCTAATTCTACTGCCACCTAACTCCCTTTCTAATCTACCCTTCCTATCCCCATATCCTGGTGCTCTCTTTAGTGTTGTGAGATTAGGACAGACCCTCACGAAGGAGTAGACAGTAACCAGATTATTTCATTTATTTATCTTCCAATTTCCTCTTCCCAAGTCCCCATCCAAAGAGTTGTAGCAGCCTTTTTTCTCCTAAAAAAAGGAAAGAAAGGGAAAAACACTAGGCTCAGGTGGCTCAGGAAGCCCCTCGTGGCCCCCCACCTCTATGAAAACTCCCCAGATTTCATATTCTGGGCTAGATTTCCCCCATTTCCTGGAAGATGTGTCCCCTCCCCTCCTCACTCCTTCCTCTGGTAAATCTCTTCACCCCCTCCCCCCCCATAGTTTTTTTTAGAATCCCAATTTTAAATTCCTTTCCTAAAGTATAGGCTTCTCTTCCCTCCTGCTTGCCTCCACCATCTCTCCTCTACTTTAGGGAATCAACCCGCCACCCCTTCTGCCTCTGAACTTTGCCTCTTGACTGCCAGGTTGTAGGGCACCTCCCATTATGCCCTCTGGCAACTGCCATATCTTAAACCACCTCCTGGATGGAACCAGCTTTGATTCCTCAAGGCAGACTGGAAGTCTGGAGAGGTTTCTTCCCTGTTTCACCTGCTTCTGATGTAGGAGGTCCTGAAGTCCTCCCAGTTCAGAAAAAGTAATGACTCTTGTTAGAAAAGTCTTTGCCTCAACATCTCCTAAACCTCTTTAAAATTAGATAAGATTTTTCTAAATGGAATCCCTTGTCCTTTAAGCAGCTGAGAATTGACCAGGCTGGAAACACTAGCCAGAGATATTGGGAAAAAATTACTTCACTGACTCCCCAAGGCCAGTGGTTGCACTCTCACCTTCTACATGAAATACATCCCCCCCTGAACGAGGGCCCAGGACAGGAGGAGGGGAGCAGGACTCTGCAGACTGGATACAGCATCGTTCAGGTCTGGACTCTGCTAAAATACAGACATCCCCCCATGGTAGGCCAGTGTCATCCTTCCTACCAACCCTCCTCCCCCTCTGGAAGGATAGCCATCTCTCTTTTTTTTTTTTTTAAGATTTTATTTATTTATTTGAGAGAGAGAGAATGAGAGATAGAGAGCACGAGAGGGAAGAGGGTCAGAGGGAGAAGCCGACTCCCCGCTGAGCAGGGAGCCTGATGCGGGACTTGATCCCGGGACTCCAGGATCATGACCTGAGCCGAAGGCAGTCGCTTAACCAACTGAGCCACCCAGGCGCCCAGGATAGCCATCTCTTTATACCAACCTCCATCTTCCTTTCTTCAGAGCTTAGAGAAAGATCCAGCTCTCCTCCCCATAACTATGAGGAGTCCTTTCCTCTGTGCCTTTCAGCCTCCTGAGCATACCGGGGAGCATCAACTCAATTCAACAATGTGTATTTTTTTTTATCTGTTATGTGCATGACACTATGCTTAGTCACTGTGCTAGGTGCTACAGTGGGGATATAAGTGTGATTAAGACCTCCCTCCTTTCTTCAGAGAGTTTACAATCTAAATGGAGCCTACTATGTACCTTAAAATCTTTCCCTGTCCTTGTCATCCATCACCAGCTTTCCATTCCTACTGACCCCTCCCATCTGTGTTCAACTATATTCAGGCTACACTTTGGTCCTCTTGCCCTTTTTGGCGGCTGCTTCTCTTTTTTCATTACCAGATTTCTCAGATGATTGGTCTATACTCTCCCTTCCCTTCTTCACAATGTACTCCCTCTCTAACTCCATAAAACCTAACTTTTGCTCAACCACTCAATTAAAACTTCTTTCTTTGGAGCTACCAGTGACCTCCTTTTCTTTGGCCTCTTGGTCACTTTTTATTGACTATATTAAACTTTATCTTCTAGATTCTATAATACAGACTTGGCTATCTGCCTGCCTCTTCAATCAATTCTTCTCCATTTTCCTGGTTGATTCCTTTTCCTCCTCCTAACTACAGGTACAGTCATTGGCCTCTGGTCTTCTGTGTACCAGCTCTGTTGTGCTTGTTTACTTTCGTAACTGTGACTTTGCACTTAAAACTGAAGCTCTGACCTAGTTCAGCTACCTTTGGACACCCTCACCATAAATTCAGCTTGGCCAATACCTAATTTATACCTTCAGTCTTAAACCACTCTGACCTTTCACAGTTCCTATTTTGGTCAGACATCCATATTTCCCCAGACATCCATATTCAAAACTTGTAAGTTATTTCAACTCTCTCCTCATTTACTGCTCATTGCATTTTCTTCAAAATACTTATTTTTCTCCTCTCCCTTCAAAATGCTACTTCCCTAGTCCAAGCCTTTAATGGATTGTTTCCAGAATGATGTAAATCTCATGCATCTCTCTGCACTCTGTTGCATCCTGCATACAACAAATAGTTTTTCTAAAATACCACTTTCGGGGCGCCTGGGTGGCTCAGTCGATAAGCGTCTGCCTTCGGCTCAGGTCATGTCCCAGGGTCCTGGGATCGAGCCCCACATTGAGCCCCGCATCGGGCTCCCTGCTCAGCAGGAAGCCTGCTTCTCCCTCTCCTACTCCCCCTGCTTGTGTTCCCTCTCTCGCTGTGTTTCTCTCTGTCAAATAAATAAATAAAATCTTAAAAAAATAAATAAAATACTACTTTCACTGTATCTTTACCACACTGAAGAACTTACTAGGCTCCCCCGTTGCTTATATAAGTCCAGACTTCAGCCTGACACTTCAGATTCTCTTGTGATTCAGCCCTCTTGCCTTACCTATGTGAAATTACCAAGCGAATATTAGGAGCCTTGTATATTTTAATTTTTTTTCTTTTTTTTTTTAAAGATTTTATTTATTTTATTATTTGAGAGAGAGAGAGAGAGACAGAGAGCACGAGAGGGAAGAGGGTCAGAGGGAGAAGCAGACTCCCCGCTGAGCAGGGAGCCCGATGTGGGACTCGATCCCAGGACTTCACCTGAGCCGAAGGCAGTCGCTTAACCAACTGAGCCACCCAGGTGCCCTTAATTTTTTTTTCTTAATTTTGCACTGTTCCTTCCCATACACCTTCTCCTTCAATCATACCCTATGCTACTAAACATGCCATGCTTATGCCATCCCCTCACCAATGCAGTTCTTTCATCTGCCATTCTTCCTTCTAATTGTTTTCATACTTTCATAACTTACTGCCACTCAAAAGCTTACCTATCCTTCCAAGTATATCTTAAACACAGTCACCTTCTAAAAGTCTTCCAGGCAACTCCAGTGTATACTGATTTCTGTCCTTCCACTGACTAAAACACTTGCCTATATCATATGCTCTCAAATTTATATGTAATTGAACTTTGTTACGAACCTTTTCATTTTGTTCTAAATGTTTTGTAAGCGTGAACTTGGGTTTTATAAATACTTTGAGGGCAATAACAACATCATAGATTTCCTTTTCATCATCATCAACATCCTTCACGGTTTTTTTTTTTTAAAAGATTTTTATTTACTTATTTGAAAGAGAGGGAGAGAGGGAGAGAGGGAGAGAAAGCACAGAGGGAGGGGGAGAAGCAGGCTCGCCGCTGAGCAGAGAGCAAGATGCAGGACTCGATCTCAGGACCCTGAGATCATGACCTGAGCCGAAGGCGGACACTTAACAGACTGAGCCACCCAGGCGCCCTCCTTCACAGTTTTAGTCATAGGTTACATACACATTTAAGTACTATTGAACTGAAATTTAACTGTACCAAATCTTCCCAGTTTTCTGAATACAAGGTTAGTATTAAATCTCAATGGAGGGGCTCCTGGGTGGCTCAGTCAGTTAAGCGGCTGACTCTTGGTTTCTGCTCAGGTCATGATCTCGGTCCTGGGATCAAGCCCCACGTCTGCTCCACACTCAGTGGGGAATCTGCTTGAGGATTCTCTCTTTCCCTGCTCCTTTTGCCCCTCCCCTGGCTCTTTCTCTCTCTCTCTCAAATAAATAAATTAATTAAAAAAAACAACTAAAAAAAATCTCAATGAGAGGTACGATGGCCAAGCTGAGCTGGACACTGCATTGCTATATTAGTTATTTCGTTCCTTCTTCCACCAAAGCCTATTATTTCAGCCCTCCCTCTGTTATATGTCACCAGCCCTGGGATCTGCCCCCCCACTCCCCCATCCCCCCCGCCCTGCCCCACCATCCCCAATCCACTCACTGGTTCCATTGTCATTGGTTTCGATGTTTCAGGCTTCTGAGGGTCTGCACCTTCTGTTTCATGACTAAGGGTAGTCTCTGCTGCTTCCCTTACCTTCTTATCCACCCTGTTCTGCCCTCAGTAGGATCAAGAAACACAGAGTTATCATTGCTTCCATCCAACATCCTCAGAGTTTCTCTATTTAGACTCCTCTCCTGCAGCCCTCATCCCCCAAACTTAAGCTCAGGAATCCTCCCTACTTTATGTTTGCATGGATTACGTACCGATCCCATTCACCAATTCCCCTGACTCAAGGACTGCCCCTCCCCCTCAATGTCTTAGCAAACCTACTGAGTTCTGGCTTTATTTTCTTCCCCAACTGTGGTTGACACATATGCTTTGGGACTTCCCAGTTCCATTTCACCTAACTCATTTGTGTTCCTGCTAATCATTTATATGTCAATATTGACCAATTTCTTTTTAAACCGTTACCTATCCCGACCCTCTTAGATGTAGAGGTCACTCACCTGTCTGTCCTCAGATTCAAACATGGAGTAATCAACAGTGAAATTTGCACCAAAGTCATCTGGGGAGGACAAAAAAATCAGTAGCGACAAACAAAAAAAGTAGCAGTAGGTCTAGAAATGGAAAGAGGAAGAAATTGCTCAGAATACTTGAACTTGCTCAAGTTGTAAAATTTACTGGTGTAATCTAATTCTAATGAGCTTTAATGTTAAAAATGTTTGTGAATGTACCTGCATTTATATTTTCTTTTTTTTTTTAAAGATTTTATTTATTTATTTGAGAGAGAGAATGAGAGACAGAGAGCACGAGAGGGAAGAGGGTCAGAGGGAGAAGCAGACTCCCCGCTGAGCAGGGAGCCCGAAGCGGGACTCGATCCCGAGACTCCAGGATCATGACCTGAGCCGAAGGCAGTCGCTTAACCAACTGAGCCACCCAGGCGCCCCTGCATTTATATTTTCAACCTGGTATCTAAAACAATTTACAAATTTGAAAATCTTCAAATCGTTTCAACCAGGTTCCAAAGAACTGAAAATCACTAGCTTGAGAGATAACATTATGAGTCTTGGTAAGGTCTTTGCTCATAGCTGAGTTTCTCTCTGATCTTGTTGTTCCAATTGCAAAGAGAAAGGCAAAGTCTCAGAACTAAGTATCCCCCAAATCTCGGTCCATCCTGCTATGGGTCAGAGCCTTATACATACTTACCATAATTGGGGGTGACTGTGTAATAATAGACCACCTGATAATAATCATCCTCTCCCAGTCCTTCTTCATCCGTATATTCTTGTCCTGTGGGGGCATCTGGAACTCCTTAGTGAGAGAAGAACACCTGAAGTTGACCTCAGCTCTATCAGTTTCTTTTCTCTCTGCCTGCCCTCCAACGGTCTTACTATCTCACTGCCTGTGTACCTCTAAACCCTTCTCGGTCTTTGGGGCTCCATATCTGTGATGAGGCCTGTTACTCCATGCCCTTTCAATTCAGGAACTCCTAAAGAGAAAACCAGTCCCTAAACCCAAAATGAGAGCTAAAGCTAAAAAGGTAGGAAGCGGAGGTGCCAGAAACGAAGAACTCCAAATCGCCTCTCCAGTATTCCACAGACAGTATTGGATTTGTGAGAGACTTTCTTCTCTTCTCAGTGTGTCTCACACATAACAAAAACACATCCTTAGGCTTTTGGACTTGGGTTTTTGTTTATTATTTTTTTTAACGAACATACAATGTATTATTTGTTTCAGGGGTACAGGTCTGTGATTTATCAGTCTTACACAATTCACGGTGTTCACCATGGCACATACCCTCCCCAGTGTTCATCACTGGACTTGGGTTTTAGTTCCGGATTCACTGCTAACTAGCAGAATAATCCTGAAGAAGTCACTTAACACCTGCTCTCTTAAAATGAGTCAGCTGGACTAAATGATCCATCTGCATTAGTTTTTCTTCCTTCCCAGGACTAAAAATATGTGGCTTTGACATGATTAGATCAAGGACTCCAGGCCTCCTACTGAACACTTCCCTAAACTCCTTAAATGCTCTTCCCGAACCCTAGGCAATGACACACAAATCTGGAGGAAAAGGAAACAATGAGAGTACCTGGCAGACTGGGAACAAAGGAGGGAAGGAGCCAAGCTACTTTTGGGACTCTCTCCACTACCCTAAAGGCCCCCCCCATTTCTGTTTCCTTACTAATATAACGGTTTTTTCTCTGGCCCTCTGGGAAAGAAGATACCCTGGCTTCTCTCACTGGTTTCAGACTGCCCCACCTTCCAAGAGCCCATCTCTCTCCTCCACCCTCTCTGTAGTCCCTCACCATCTTGTTCAACTCCGTGGTGTCAGAGAGCTGAGGTGACTCTTGTTAGGACCGACCTCCCAGCGTCCGGGGCTCCATCCACATCAGCTGTCTCTTCTTTGACAGGACTCTGCTTTCCTCCCCTTCTCCTGGCTCTACTTTCCAGACCCCTCCAGCTCCGCCCTAACACTGGACTCGGGCACAGATGTGTGTTATCACTCCCCATCAAACTGCGCCTCTCACCCTCTCCTCACTTTTTTTTTCTCCCACCCCACTTACGACAGAAGACCTGCCCCAGAAGCTCAGGGAGAGAAGTGAACTTACCCCGGATAAGTGGCACTGCAAGGATGGTTATGAGGAGGGCATGCATTCTGGATTCTCCACTATTGCTGTGAAAGTAAAAAAGGAAATTACAGAGTTTCTCACCAAATTTCCCCGCCTTCTGCCCTCCTCCAACGCTGTTGCAACTCTTCTCCCAGGGAGTAGAATTCTCCACCCACTTGCTGATGGACTAGATCATCAGTTTCCACTGGTCAGCCTGACTCTGCCCAGATTAAGAGAGGCAAAGTGGGTTTTGAGGCGAACCGGGCTCACTGAGCTCCCCTAGCCCGGGATTAGATCCATTCAGGACTCCCGCGGCCGCTACCAAAACAAGCAAACAAACAAGCAAAACGCCAAACCAAAACAAAAAACCCCAGCCTATCTAGGAGCTTCCTGTCTCCCCGCCTCTCCTTCTTCCCTCCTCAGTCCTTATAACAAGCTCACCCTCCTTCTCACTGTCCCTAACTTATCATCACCAAGCAGAGTCAAGGCTTATTCACAATCTCTCTTCACAGTCAAAATGTTCTGAGGAAGGGATGAGCATTTTTTCTAGACCAAAAAAATTCCCTCTCCTCTGCCTATCCTGGACTATGAAGTACAGGAGTAACATCAACATCATTGTCTGACACTCAAAGCACATTACTTCTGATAAAAATCTCTCAGCCAAGGCTCGTTATTTCCTCTCTGGTAAGTACTGACCTCACTTCACTTCTTTCTCTCCTTTCTGGATACAGGATGGAAGAAGGGAGGAAACAGCCTCTTTTCCCATGTAGATGCTACCCCCTTCTCCCACTTTCAGCCACTTGGTATGCTCCCTCCATTCCAGCCCACAGGGCTACAGTTCATCTCACTCTTCTCTCTGCTTTTATATTTCACATTTTTATTTGATTCAACTCAGAAACATTCAGTAATGTATATGCTAGGCCTAGTCTGATAGGCAATTCAGGGTCCACTGGCAAGGGAATAAGAGTAGTGATGTTTTTTAAAAGTTAATAAATATCTATTCAACGTCTACTAAGAGGCGCTATGAGAGTCTCTGTGGAACCACTGGTGGACAAGATAGGTTTGGCGCCTGCTCTCATCAATCAGAAGATGCTGTGGTAATAGCTCAAAGGAGAGATAAGAAGAGTTGTCTTCCTCCTATCACCTCCCCTGATTCGGCCTGCTAGGCTCAGAAGCAAGACACACTGGAGTTTTGAGCACTGGCCAGGATGTTTCCACCCTCTCAGCCGTTTGGGGGGTAGGATTTGCTTGGTGATGGTGATTTTCCATGTATCTATACAATCTATTCCTTCAGCTCCTTTTAAGAATTTCCTGGAAAAAAATGTAAAACGCTTATGTGGATGTACCCATATCCATTAAGTCATAAATCACTTCCAGGAAGGAAAGGAAACCTGGTTCTCTTTGAACAATTTCTATGTTTTTTTGGTACTTTGATTAGTCTCTCAAAAACAATTTTCCAGATTTCCTCACTTTCCCATTCTGGTACTCTTTTACCTAAATATCCTCCCTAAAGGTACTGACCTTTGCCCCATCCAAATGAGGTTACAATACCCTCTTCTCCTATTTTAATTTTCTCTCTCTCTAATACACACAACCACTGTGCCTTCCCCCAGCCTGAAGAAAAGACACCACCGAGTTCATTTTCAGAAAATAAATGGAGGAAGCATGATCTAAAAGGAACTGTGTGACTTGGCTGGGGTGTGTGTGTGTGTGTGTGTGTGAGATTTTCCTTCAACCCCATAGCTCGAATTGCTTTTTTACAGTCTTAACTTTGAAATCTTAACACCAAATCCCATGTAACCTCCTTCCTAACATTGCTCTTCAGGCTCCTATTCTCTTCGATTCTCTGGTCATGACAGATGAAGCCTTCGTTAGCGATACACTCACTGAATTGAATATTTCCTATACTAGACTGTTGAAAGAATCTTACTTTTAAGTCTAACCTTCATCTTTTAGGCAGTAGCTCAAGCTCATTTCCTCTCATTCAAGTAAGAACAATACCCGTCCCTATCTCCCTGCACCCTCTATCCTGTGCTTTCTTTGTATTTGTCCTTTAGGTTCCAACAGGATCTACTCCCCGCCCCCCGCCGCTCTTCAAGAAGACGTAGAATTGCCACTACCCTTCCCCCACAAAATAACGAAAGGAAGCCGCGCCAAGGCCCAACGAGACCCAGGAACCCGGGCCAGTCCCGACCCACTCCCTCCTTTGACCGGCTCGAGCCACTCCCAGAACCCAGGTCGAAAGCTCAGTAGGGCGGAAGGACTACAACTCCCAGCAGGTAGTGCCGCCCCGCCCCCGCAGCTCCGCCCCGCCCCCGCAGCTCCGCCCCCGCTGATTCTCCATTGGCCTTCGGGGGGTGGGGATTGGATGGGAGGAGGCCGTGGGGCTGCGGCGGGGTTTGTTCCCTCCTCGGCTTCCGTAGAGGAAGTCGCGCGGACCTGTATCTGGGGTTTCGGTGTCCCCCCTCCCCTTCCCCGGGGTCCGGGGGTGACATTGCACCGCGCCCCTCACGGGGTCGCGTCGCCACCCCAAGCGGACTCCCCAGCTAGCGTCCTCCCCCTATCAACCCCTCTTGGCCCGGCTTTCCACCCCGTCCCCAGTTGCCCAGCCATGGGGGCCGCAGTGTTTTTCGGATGCACTTTCGTCGCTTTCGGCCCGGCCTTTGCGCTTTTCTTGATCACTGTGGCTGGGGACCCTCTTCGCGTAATCATCCTGGTCGCGGGGTGAGTAGGGGGTCGACAAGACGCGGGAGGGCGCCAGAGAGAGAGATCCGGAAGGGGCTGGGCGAGCTTGGGAGCCTGAGTTGGGGGAGACAAGTCGGAGGTGAAGATTGGAAAGGGTCGAGTCAGGGGTCTAGATGATTTGCCCTTTCCCGCAGTTGGTTTCCGCCTTCCAGGGATCGCACAGATTCCTCCTATACTCCTCCCGGCGACGTCAGAGGAGGCCCAAGGCCAAGACTCGTGAGGGGGGTGTGCTGACCTCCGCCGGCCTAAGGGAGGATCCAGGAATGGATACCTCTCCCTACTGTGCGCGTACATTCTGGCTCTCATCGCTCTGAAGAATCATTAATCAGATTTCTGTCCCTTCCCCCGGTCCAGATCCCTACATGACCCCTTTGGTGGAGACACCGATCCTGTCTCCTCCCAGTCTCCCTGACCATCCGGAAGTCTAACTTCCACTTTCCATGCTGCAGCCTTGATTGGTTCCCCTCCTTGATTTCCCTGGCTCTGCCTACCCTGACCTGTCTGATTGCCCTTGTCTTTCCTCAGGGCATTTTTCTGGCTGGTCTCCTTGCTCTTGGCCTCTGTGGTCTGGTTCATCTTGGTCCATGTGACCGACCGTTCAGATGCCCGGCTCCAGTATGGCCTCCTGATTTTTGGTGCTGCGGTCTCCGTCCTTCTACAGGAGGTGTTCCGCTTTGCCTACTACAAGCTGCTTAAGTAAGAAGATGGGATAGTTAGGAGGGGAGAAGGGCAGAGGATTGCACTATGAGAAGTGGGGCAGCCCCTGGGTGGTGGGTTTGGAAGAGGAGGCACTAAGGGAGGACGTTAGAGGGAAAGGAGCATTACTGCCCTCCCTCATATTTCCCCTACCCCACCCCACCCCTGCCCCATCCCAGGAAGGCAGATGAGGGGTTAGCATCGCTGAGTGAGGACGGAAGATCACCCATCTCCATCCGCCAGATGGCCTATGGTGAGCCAAGGGAGAGGGACTGGAGGAGGGAGTTGGACACCCCCCTCTCCCAGGGAAGTCGAAAACAACCACGTGTTCTAAGTGGCTGCTGCTTTTCCTTCATACCTGACTTCCAAGGAGGTGGTCTGGAGGGAGAGTAGGTGTGGGGGAATTGCGACTGGGAATGGGGTGGGATCACTGGTAACCAGGCTATAAAGACCTCTGACATTGATGAGACCCTCCTTCCCTCCAGTTTCTGGTCTTTCCTTCGGTATCATCAGTGGTGTCTTCTCTGTTATCAATATTTTGGCTGATGCGCTCGGGCCAGGTGTGGTTGGCATCCATGGAGACTCACCCTATTACTTCCTGACTTCAGGTAAGGCCCGCTTTCTGTCTTGCCTTCATGCCCCATCCATCCCTGGCCCTGATCTGATGTATTAGCCTTCGCTGGGAGACCTCTTTGGCTCAACATCTCAGGAGGCTGAGAGAGGATGAGGGATGTAGCTCATCCCCATCTCCCTCTCTGCAGCCTTTCTGACAGCAGCCATTATCCTGCTCCACACCTTTTGGGGAGTTGTGTTCTTTGATGCCTGTGAGAGGAGACGGTACTGGGCTTTGGGCCTGGTGGTTGGGAGTCACCTACTGACCTCGGGACTGGTGAGTTGGGGACACGGGCCCGAGTTAGAGAGAAAAAAGTTTAATGGTGAGTGGGATGGAGGGGAGATATATTCTCACTTCTTCACATTTGAAAACATACCAAGGGAGGAGGCAGAGAGGTAAGTGTTGAGAAGTCTCTCACCTCAGCATCAGTTGTATAACCTGCTCTGGGGATGCTCCGGGAGGAGTATGAATGGATGAGTCAAACTCTAATACAAATGGCCTGAGGTGAGCAGGAGGGGCAGAAACCTATGAGGGAGCTAAAAATCAAAAGTCCTCTTAACCACAAGATGTTGGTGCCCTGAAGGGAAGGACTGGGGATTTGAGTGAGCCACCTGGGGCGGGGTAGGGGGGGAGGTTTGGGTCAAAGGCACAGAGAGAATGTGGGGATTAGGCAGAGAGAAAAGCTAACTTCTTTTCTACTCTTACCCCATCCCTAGACATTCCTGAACCCCTGGTACGAGGCCAGCCTGCTGCCCATCTATGCAGTCACTGTTTCCATGGGGCTTTGGGCCTTCATCACAGCTGGAGGTTCCCTCCGAAGTATCCAGCGCAGCCTCTCGTGTAAGGACTGACTACCTGGACTGATCGCCTGACAGATCCCACCTGCCTGCCCACTGCCCATGACTGAGCCCAGCCCTAGCCCGGGTCCATTGCCCACCATTCTCTGTCTCCTCGTCGGTCTATCCCACCACCTTCAGGGTTTTGCTTTGTCCACTCGTGACCTTTAGTCTTTAGGCTTCACCAGGAGCAGCCTGGGTTCAGCCAGTCAGTGACTGGTGGGTTTGAATCTGTACTTATCCCCACCCTCTGGGGACCCCCTTGTTGTCCAGGACTCCCCATGTGTCAGTGCTCTGCCCTCACCCTGCGCAAGACTCACCCCGCTTCCCCTCTGCAGGCCGACGGCAGGAGGACAGTCGGGTGATGGTGTATTCTGCCCTGCGCATCCCACCCGAGGACTGAGGGAACGTGGGGGGGAACCCCTAGGCCTGGGGTGCCCTCCTGATCTCCTCGCTCTGTATTTCTCCATCTCCAGTTCTGGACAGTGCAGGTTGCCAAGAAAAGGGACCTAGCTTAGCTGTTGCCGTGGAGATGAAATTAATGGAGTCTCAAGGGTAGACGAGCTCTCAGTTTCCCAGTACCTCCTCCCCAGACTGGGCGTCTTGGTATTTTTCTCAGGTCTGAGGGGAACCATTTTTGGTGTGATAAAGACCCCAAACTGCCTTTTTCTTTTTCTTTTTCTTTCTTTCTTTTCTTTTCTTTTCTTTTCTTTTCTTTCTTTTCTTTTCTTTTCTTTTCTCTTCCTTCCTTCCTTTTTTTCTTTTTTTGAATGGGGGAGGGAAGAGGTGTGTTGGAATTCTTCTAACCTCCTTGAACTATATTTTCCCTCCTCAAATTGCTCCTCATGGTGGGGCTTATATCTGTCCACCTTTCCCCTTTGTCTCAGGCCTTGCGGGAAAGGAAGGAAGTGCATGTTTGGGAAACTGGTATTACTGGAACTAATGTTTTAACCTCCTTGACCACCAGCATCCCTCCCCTCCCCAAGGTGAAGTGGAGGGTGCTGCGGTGAGCTGGCCCACTCCAGAGCTGCAATGCCACTGGAGAAGTCAGACTACCATGACATCACAGGGAAGGAGGGCAGATTTTTTTCTAGTTTTTAATTGGGGTGTGGGGGGGTGGGGGGGGAGGTTTTCTATAAACTGTATCATTTTCTGCTGAGGATGGCATGTTCCATCCTTTTAATCAAGGTGATTGTGATTTTGACTAATAAAAAGGACTTTATAATTGTGGGGGAACTTGGCTTTTAAGGGAGGGGATAACATGTTAATCGAGATTTCTGTCCTCCCACTTCTCTTATCCAGCCTCCTTCCTTATCTGGCAACCTCTGATCCCCTCCAGCATAGCTTTGGTACAAGGATAGAAATCTGGGCTCATGGTCTCACATGTCAGGAACTTTGGGTTAAGTATTTTCCAGAGGTGGATCTCCCCTTGCAGGACTGGGGTAAAAAGAGTTATTCATCCATGCTTCTTTCCCCCTGTCCTTCGCCCACCTCTGCCTCCTGAGAGATTAAGGAACTCCCCCACTCTCAAGAGCCCCAAAGGAAGACCCAGAGGTGGGATTAGAAACTTTAATTTCCAGGTATATTGAGCAAAAAAATATATAACCCCAACAGCAACAAGTCTTTTTCCTAAGGGGAGGTCCTGCCCTATATCTAGGGAAAAGGACATAAACGTGAGGGGGTGGAGGACTTTGGGGGTTACATCCCCAACTTCCCCTACAACTAAACACAGTTTGCTGTCTGCATTGTCAACATAGGGTTGTCCTGATCTATAGGTTTTGAGAGGTCGAAGGCTCTGCTCTTATTCCATGAACAAGAGCCTGTCCGTGCCTCTCTGTAGGGGCTGTCTGGAGGAAGGAGGGGTGTCTGCCCACTACTTCTGGCCAGTCCCTGCAGCTCATTTTAGAAGCTCCCTGATTGGCATGAGGGGAAGGCATCTATGATGTCGGCGAGGGAGTCTATGCCTCTGTGGCTCGTGCTGAGGTGAAGACCACGCTTTTCCGGTTTCCTAGCCTCTTCTTCCTGGAAGGGGGAATGGTTCATGGAAATGACTAGTGTCCTAGGTGAAACAGATTAAAGATGGAATAGAGTGATTTTCAGTAGAAAAGAAAGGACGGAAGGAATGGAAAGTAGGACCTCACCGAATCTTCCTAGCGATGAAATAAACAGCCAGTAGAAGACAAAGACAGCCAACCAAGATTCCCACTCCTAAACTCAGCATTTCACCTGGGAGAGAGAAATACAGAAGATGTCATCCTAGGACTAACATAGATACTGAGACCTTCCCTCACGCACTGTGGAGCACCACTCCCCTCCCCCACACCTGGTTCAGGCTGTCTTACCTGTAGTGTAGGAGGATCTCGCTGTAAGGGAGGAAGATGTGGGTCAGTGGGACTTGAGCTCCCCATCCCAGCTGGGAGCAGTACACTCTGCCTCTGTGCTGGGGGAGACCATCACCTGGCGTTCCAGGGTGGGGGTATTCCCAGTCCCAGCAAGTCTGAGAAACTCCTTCCCGTCCTAGCCTTCCTTTCCTTCCCAGAGGCTGCCTAGTTCCTGCCACCGAGTCCCCCAATTTCCCATCTCCTTTTCCAAGCCCTGTGCAGTTACCTTGGATGAAAGAAGCAAAGACTGTTCGCTGATTGAGAGGCTGGGGGGCTCGGTAGTTCCGAACCAGGAGCTTAGAGGGCACCTCTTCTGTGGAGAACAATGTCTCCTGAAGCTCTTCCAGCTGAGGAGTAGAAGAGTGGGATTAGGGGAGAAGTGTCACTCACTTTGTGGAGTGGGAAAGGGTCTGAGGTTATGTCTCTGCTGCCTCACCTCTCCACCACTCACCTGTCCCATTGAAATCTGAGCCCTTCTACTGAAGACTGTCCAGAGCACGCTCTGGTAGCAGGGGGGTGTGGTGAGCGAGCCGTTGTAGCGGAAGAACTGGTCCAGCTGTGGGGGGAGCAGCTCTCCCACGTTGAAGGGAGGCACTGAAGTCTTCTGATCTGGAGGAGATCAGACTAGGACTCCTCTTCCCCTCACTGTACCCCAGCTTACCTAGATAGCGCTCCCAGAAGCAAAGCCCCCGGCCCCTAACTCATTGTCATCCCAGGCTTCATAGGCCTTTTTGGGGAAGTGCCCCTGAAGTCTAATCTCACAGGCTCACCTTTATGCCTAATTTCATGCAAGTGACTCAGGATGTGTTCATAAACTGGATTCTTGGTCTCACCCACCTGGAAAGGGAGAGAGTTGGGGATGAGTATGTGTCTGGAGTAAGACGTTCACACATGGAGTAAACGGTCAGAGTGGGTTGCTGACTAGCCTAGGGAGGGAGAGCAGCAAAAGACATGGGCAGAATAGGACTGAGGGGGGCAGAGAGAGGGCGAGAGACCCGGGAGGGACTGGGGGCCACTGACCTCAATGAGGATGCCCAAGACAGCCAGGCCCTGAGGCTTCGGAGCAGCCTCACTCAAGCTGTCATAGGAATCAGAATCATAATGTACAATGTGGAGCTGAGGGAGAGGAGAGGGAATGAAATCATTTAATGTTTCTCCACTACCCCTTCCCAAAAGCTTTGACCCTAGCCGCCACCACCTCCACCTCCAGCGTGCCCTAAACCTGTCCCACAAAGGTTGGCCTTATCCTCCGAGTATGACTCTTCTCAGTTTCCAGATCCTTCTGTTCTCTGGCACCGACCATGCCTGTCACCATGTCCCAGGCCAAGCTTTGCTCCCTGGTACCTCTGCAACTGTGGCTTCACTGTTGATCTGGTGCTCTGATCCGCCCAGGGACCCTGTCTCACCCCAGTGCAGGTGGAGCTGGGCAGCTACATATTTTCGAGGAAGTCCCTCCAGATACATGGTAGGGGGCAGAGAGAGTTGCACTGTGAGGAAAAGAGAGCAAGCTAGGGTTGGTGGAGGAGTGTGGCCACATTCCTACCCCTCCGATGCCGCTGCTCCTTGGGAGACCCGGGCCAGCCTTTTCTACCTCCCTCTCCCAGTAGCACCCAGTCCTTCCCACCACTGCTTTTCCAGCATAGCTCTGCCTTTCTCAATGAGGGTCAAGTTGATGTTATGATGCTGAATTCACCCTGATTGTAGACATTCACTCCCTACCTTTGGCTTTAAGGAACTACATCCCTATTCTCACATGTCTGAATTTGTAGATGAAGCCTTCTGGGAATTTTGAAGTTAGGCAAATGCTTCCTTTCCCCGACTCCTAAGATTGGAACTGGAGTTTACACCTCCTTGGAGCCTGGGCTTTTTACCTGTGTGGCCGTTGTTGTGCAGGTCCAAAGGCTCAGTGCTAGGCTGGTCATATCCATGGGGCTGCAGAGCAGGCAACTCAGGGTCAAAAGTCACACTGTCTGTCTGGATATTGATGGGGGATTGGGCATTGCTTCCACATTCAGGGTAAGAGGCTGGCCAGTGGTCTTGACCATGTGGGCCTGGTAGGGATTACCACGGACATTTGTCCTGCCCTCCAAGCCCCAGCCACCCTTCAGGAACTAGCCCCCCCTCAACCCTGGCGAAGACCCCAGTTGTGCAGGGCTAGGTGAGGCAGGGGTCCCTGCGGGACTTGATGCGGCAGCACCCTTCACCTTCCCTGAGGCAGTGATGACTCCCCAGCTCTCCCGATAGACTACTCCTGATAAGAGTAGTGGCTTTTACTTACCTGCAGTTTGGGGACAAGAAAGCTGAATGAAAGGAAAAGGGGATGGATAGAAAACCTGCATGCCTGGAGAGGTGGGACTAGAACAGAGGCAGGAAAGCTGGGGAAATAAAATGATCCTAGAAAGAGCCAGTCTCCTTGGGAGCCCCCTTATGGAGTGGCCTGGGGATTGCATTCCCTCTGCTGACTTCCCACCATTCATTTCTTGCTCTCACACGGAACCTTGCATTGACTCTGGAATTTGCTTGTTAGTCAGCAGTTCAGGGGAATTGAGTCCACCCCCACCAGGGTCACCAACTATCCTGCCAGACTCTTCCTCACCCCTGACCTCAGGCTCTGTCCCAATTCCAGACACAAGGAGGATCTATGAGGTCAGAAAAAGAGCCGGGAAGTGGATGGGCAGCTAAGCTCTGTGTTCCTTTCCCTACCTGGTTTCCTCTCCACTCCAGCTCCCTCATTCCCACACAGACTGACTGAGGACATCACTGGCCTTTCTGCTGAGGCGGGGGTGGGGGTGGAGGAGTGGGGGTGGGATTTGACAGTTAGAACAGGGTCTAGGAGTCATAGACGTAAAAAATAGGGCCGGGGGTGGGGGGGGGCGTGGGAGGCGGGAGGAGCTAGGGTCAGAAGCTAAAGAAGCTAAAGGGAACTCCCCACACACTCGACAGAAGTCTTCCCGGCAGGTGAAGAGGTCCCAGTGTGGAAGGGGTAGCGGAAGGCCTTGGGTTCTGCTCTCACCCTCATATGTCCAGTGTTGACCTGCAAGGCAGAGAGAGCGGGGTTGCAGCCAGCGCAGTTGGAGCTTGCGGCCGGCTTGCGGGGGGGGGGGGACGACAGCGTGGGCCGGCACTCTCCCCCCCGCGGACGCTCTGTGCCGCCCCACCTCGCTCTGTTCTCTCTCCACCCTCCTCCCCGAGCACTTCCCGAAGGAAGCCCTGAAACCGGACACCTCGGCGGAAAGGTCGGGGGGCCGATTTAAAATCGCCGGCCGGGCAGTGCGGGCGCGTGCTGAGCAGAGGGGGAGGAGAAGGGGAAGGGAGTAGAGAGAGCCCGGAGACTAAAATTAACCTGGACCCAAAAGTGCAGCTTGCCCCGCCCTCACTGTTCTCCAGCCGGGGCCAAGCCAGTCCGACACTTAGAAGATTAGGGTGAGGTGAGGGCGTGGACAGAGGGTTTGGAGGAGAGGGACTAGAACCGGGCGGGGGGCGTGTGTGGGGGGAGGTTGTGTGTGGGGGATGGTGCTACCCAGGGGAGAAGGGCCATTATTCATCGGCTCTGAAGCATCGTGTCAGGCGCGTGTGGCGAGGCCCTCCGCTGTGAGTTAACACTGAAGTTCCTCCTCGGGTCCTAGTAGCTCTAAAGGAAGCTTTCCCCGTTAGCGGGAGCCTCTGCTCTCTAGACCCCCAGACGGCTAGGGAAGGTGGGAGTCGGGGCAGGGTCCCCGCCCCGTTGAGGGTGGTGGGTGGGCCCAGGCAGCCAGGCTGGCAGAGACCGACTGAAAGTGAAGCATTGTGTGCGGGAGGGAGAGCTGCCAGCCGGGTCACATGCCAGCCTCTTGTGCAGCCCTATCTCAGGCCGAGAGCCTGGGGGTCTGCTGGTCCAGTCTCACGCAAGGCCAATGGCTTCCGCCTTCCTGCCGGTTTTCTCTGCATTATTCCAATTCTAGTTCAAATTCAAGCTCTGTGGGAAAAAATTCGAAATTCCTTCCTCTCTCTCTCTTATTCCGTCAAATTCCTCAGACTTCTGAGATATCCTTGATCTCATCCTTGGGCTCTTGTTGTGACCCACCCCTTGGTTCAGACAACTCTGAAAAGCAGCCCAAGGGGGAGGGAGGGCTGGAGGCAGCCTCTCACTCACCAGCGCCATGGGACATTCAAGTCAACTTGAATTCTCCAGTTCCATTTGGTGCAGGCTGACAGCCTTGCTTTTCCCCTCCCACCAAATCCTCAACATGCTGATTCTTCATCTCTTCTTCTTCTTTCCCTGTTTTTTCTTTTCCCTCAGATGCACTTTCCAGCTCTCCATTTGGCTGGCCCCCTCACCCCATCATCCTCCCTGCATTCCCCTCACCCCCTGCTCTTCCGAGGGGTCTTGATTACACACCTGCTGTGTACCGGATTCTGTGCTAGACGTAGGAAACACAAAAATAAGGGGCAGGGGTCCTGGGGACACTATAGGGAGCACCCAGAAGCCTGTTCTCCGAGTCCTCCTCATCTCCTGGGAGCTTCTGAAAGTCCTTCGTAAGCTGTAAAGGGCCCAACAGTGCTGACTGTTATTGCTACTGCTTGCAGGGAGAAACCGGGAAACCAGTCGCCCCATAGAATCAAGAGTGGACATTGGCCATGCAGTTCATAGTTGGGGATCAGGGTCTGAGTTAGTCAGGAGGCGCAGGGGTATAGAGTCCTCTCTATTTTTTCACTCGCTGCCTCCTTGGCTCCCTAGTTGAGGGAGTTCGGAAATAAAGAAGGCCTGGGAGGGTTGCCTGGGACTAGGGCGGTGCAGGAAAGAGTGCAGAGAGCGATTCCTGCAGTGTGTGTACACATCCTGCTCCCCAGCTAGCTCCCCAACCCTCCCCCCCATCCCCACAAACGGCAAGGCTGGACAGGCAAAGGGGCAAGAAGGAAAGGGCTCTTCTCCCCACTCCTCTCTCTTCCCCCACATCCCTGAGTCTATTATTCAAGCTCCTAGGCTTCCTTTTATAACACCCCCCCCCCATTAAGTAAACCTGGAGCATGTGGACATCAGCACAGACACACACACAGACATCCAGATGTACCTACCCCCTTCGGCAGCCAGGATCCAAATCACCTCCAGCAGGAGAGTGAAGAACAACATGGTATCCCCGCAAGAAGCAGGTACTGGGAGTTTGGGGACTAGAGGGCTAGGGTTGGCAGAGGAAGAGTTGGGGAGGGGGAGAGGGAGGGAGGGAGAGAGGGAGGGAGGGAGAGGGAGAGGGAGGGAGGGACGGGGAGAGAGAGAGAGTGAGAGAGGAGTTTCTTGGGCCTGAGCTGGTTGTATTTCTCTCTTTTTCTCTTGCTGTCTCTGTGAGCTTCCAGAGGATTTGGTTTTCAGTAGGGTACCGAAGGGGTTTTGGGTCCCTAGGACAAATCTCTCTCTGCCTCTCTCTCTTTTTTAATCTACCTCTACAATCTTCACTCCAGTTGCTGGCCGGCGACTTCACAATTGCCTCCTGCTTTTAAGGTGGCTCTGGACGAGTGTACGTGGGGGTGGGGGGGCTGCTGGGGTTGCTGGCGAACAGCTCCTTAAATAGCCGATTAGGCATGCAGAGTTGGAGCTTGCGGCAGGCTCACAGAGCCCGGGCCCTGGCTCAGGCGCCCAGCTGGGGTGTGCTCTTCCTTCCTCTGCTCTTCCCATGGGCACTGTCCAGGTGGGGGTCCCCTGGAGCGGGCCTGGGCCACGGAAGGAGGGCTTGGGGGGGGGACACTGTGTTCTCATTCCCCGTCTGGCTTCTCCGAGGAGCAACTCCCCTGGGTGGCATGGGGCAGTGGGTGGGAAGACCTGTTCCCTGTTCCCTGTCCCCTGCAGATTATGAACTGCCCCGGAATAGGAAGGGTCCAGAGTTCGGAGATAGGAGTCGGGGACTCAGGGTGCAGGTGGAGGGTAGGAAGTCAAGGGCTAAAACCTAGCTTGTAGAAAATAAAGAAGAGAAGTGAGGCAAGAGAACTTGTTTGGAGCGATCTCTTCCAGCGCCTGTCACCACCCCCTTCCCACGGTGAGGCCTGGGTCCACGTGCCTGTGCGGCCTGGGTGGGGGGGGTGGTTTTGTTTGCTGTATAAAGCCCATTTGTGTGCCCAGCGGGGGAGGGGCTGCAGCAGCACCACGGAGAGACGGCGGCTCCAGCTGCCAGACCCAGCCACCTCCCTCCCCAGGGAGCCCAGATCTAGGGCGGCTTTTGTCATTGAAGAGGACACTGACCCCTGGCAGGGAGGCCAGGGCAGGAGGAGAGATGGGGAGACCTCTGAAACAATCATTACCACCGTAAAAAAAAAAAAAAAAAAAAAAAAAAAAGGCAGACTCTAGAGAAAGGGAGGGGAGGGAGAAGAGAGAGACCATGTGATCTAGTTGGAAGTGGGGCCCAGGGTCTTCCCTCCTGCTCAACAAAGGGCTGAGGCCGGACATGTGGGACTGAGTGAAATCTGCCACCGGGGAGCTGGATGAGTAGAGCATAGAGGCTGCTGGGTCTCAGGAATGTGGGCTGGTGCCTGTTTCCCCGTGGGACTGGAAATCCCGATCGGAATGTACATCCTAAAGCCCTCATTAGAGAATGTGCAACACACAGATAATTTCAAGCCAGACACTGAGACCTCTTTCTCCTCCGTGCCCTTCACCAGAGTCACTCTCCCTGAGGAGGCACCCATTTGAGCTCCCTCTGCGCTCGTCCGTCCTGCCAAGGAGCAAGAAATAGCCAAAACAAAGGGAGCAGAAGCTAAATAAGGGAGCAGGATAAAAGCCAAATGAACAGAATAATGCATGTGCTGCATCATCAGTACCTGCTGAGGCAGGAGTAGCCATGCCTTTCTGGCCCCTGTGACTGATGTGCGAAGCAAAACCATTTGGCGGATGTCATTTCCCTCTTCATTTTTTCATCACCCTCAGAATTATTTTTCCCTTGCAAGGCGCATTTTATGTTTTGGGGTTCCCCCAAAGCCCCACCCCTCTCGTCTAAGAAGAATAAAAGACATAAAGTGTAAACTAGACATCCTGGGAATCAGGATAGTTAACACAGAGAAACAGAGAAAGGAAGGAAAGCAGAGACATCTACTGCATGGGAGGAAAGAATGGGCCTGGACAGAATGACCTCGCCAGGTCAGAGTCCCGGTCCAGCGGCTGGGGCTGTAACTCAGCTTCCCCAGGCAGGTAGTGTGTCTTGCCAGGCGCCACCTCCTGGTTGTCTCGTGAATTTTTTGGGGTAATTTTAAAAAATTTTAATTTAAAATCTGTGTGCGATTGCTTCGGGGAAGTGTTTCACTGCTGGTGGGATTTGGGATTTTGCCTCCAGAAATAAACATTGTTTCACAAAAATGTCTTACCCCCAAATCAGCACCTTCCCACTTCTGAGTGAGCAGCCTCTCCAGGCCCTCGTGCTACCCCAGTGGACAAAGGCCTTGGTTTCTGGGAGGGAGGGAGGGAGGGAGGGAGGGAGTAAGGAGGCAAGCACCATCCTCCAGGCACTTGCCTTTATTTTGCTCTTTGGCTCTACTGTGGATATTTCTGTAGTTACCAAGCTAATTTGGAGTACGTGTCAAGAAGACCCTTCTATGTTAAAACAAAACAAAATGCCATCCCACCCCCCCAGCTCCCTTCACCCCAGTAGCTACTCAAACTCTGGCACCTTTGTTTTAATTCTTACTCCTCTCTCCAGCACATTCCCTACCCCGGAGTTGGCTAAACCCAAGGCATTCCACTGCCTTCTGGCGCCATCTCCTGTCCTCTCAAATGCAGTGAAATGTGAACAGGTCAGAGAATCAAATGTCCAAGTGTGGTTGGTGGCTTTTTGGTTTGTTTTTTCTTAAAAGTCCTTTTTATTTTATTATTATTTTTCTTACTTAAGGAATCTCTATACCCCACATGCGGCTCGAACTTACAACCCCCAAGATCAAGAGTCGGCATACTCTTCAAACTGAGCCAGCCAGGCATCCCATTTAGAGGTCCTTTTAAAAAGGATATTTAGGGGCGCCTCTGTCTGCCGCTCCCGCTGCTTGTGCATGCTCTTTCTCTCTCTCTCTGTCAAATAAATAAATAAAATCTCTTTTTAAAAAAGGATGTTTAAACTCAATAAATGTCCTAAATAGTCTAAAACACCTTGCAGGAGCCCACTAAGTACTGAGTTTGTGTGGTGGGGTATACACGAGGCAGTGTGGGAGGGAGGCAGATCAAAAAGAAAGGAGAGGTGCCTGGGTGGCTCAGTCAGTTAAGTGTCTGCCTTCTGCTCAGGTCATGATCCCGGGGTCCTGGGATCAAGCCCTGCATCAGGCTTCCTGCTCAGTGGGGAATCTGCTTCTCCCTCTTCCTCTGCTCCTCCCCCTCCTCCTGCTCTCTCTCTCAAATAAATAAATTAAAAAACAAAACAAAACAAAAACAAAAAGAAAGGCGAATGGCCAACAAAAGAACTTACTCAAGCAATACAGTTGGTAACTAGAAAAGAGAATCAATGAGGAGACCGTTAGATGGAATTCGATTTCTTTTTTCTTTTTTTTAAGATTTTATTTATTTGACAGAGAGAGACACAGCGAGAGAGGGAACACAAGCAGGGGGAGTGGGAGAGGGAGAAGCAGGCTTCCCGCGGAGCAGGGAGCCGGATGCGGGCTCGATGCGGGGCTTGATGCGGGGCTTGATCCCAGGACCCTGGGATCATGACCTGAGCTGAAGGCAGATGCCTAATGACTGAACCACCCAGGCGCCCCTGGAATTCGATTTCCTAAAAGAGCAAGCAACTTTGTGCCATGAAATAATGTAGACCCAGAGATACTCTAATTTGGTAGATAATCACATTTATTATCACACGCTCGTCTCCTAACACATGAGTACTGAAGCCCCTTAAGTAAACACAAGAGCTTCAAGAATTGAAGTCAAAGTAAAAAAAAAAAAAAAAAAAAAAAACACGAGAAAATAAAAAACAAAAGAATTAAAGTCCAAGTAATTTGGGAGAGGCATGGTCAGAATTCTGGATCATTTTCTCAGCTTTCCAGTTCATATTCCCCAACAAATGCAATGTGAGACTATTGTAGACAGAAGACAGGTAAGTTTGTGGTCTGAAATCTTGCAACTTTATTTAAAAAGGAGTAATTGTGGGGCACTTGGGTGGCTCAGTCGTTAAGCGTCTGCCTTCGGCTCAGGTCACGATCCCAGGCTCCTGGGATCGAGCCCTGCATTGGGCTCCCTGCTCGGCGGGGAGTCGGCTTCTCCCTCTGCCCCGTCCCCACCCCCACCCCTGTTCATTCATGCTCTTGTGCGTCCTCGCTCTCTCAAATAAATAAATAAATAACATCTTAAAAAATAAAAAGGAGTAATTTTGTGTCCTGCACTGATTCCGTGTCCAGATCACTGCCTGGTACGTACATATTTGCTGAATGAATGAGTAAATCTAGTCATTGGAACATTTATTTACTTTCTTTCTGCCTTTGGTATTTTGCAGAATTTTAGACCAGGGGTTCTCAGGCATCATTCCAACTCCCTTGTTATAGCCTGTGAAGGCAGAGTTTTGAAGGGCTTAGGGATTCTCTCATGGTTAGACACATAGCAGCTAAGCTGAACCAGGGCAAGGGCACAGACCCCATTGGACTGGTTCTCAAACATCAGTGTGCATCAGAATCATCTGGAAAGCTTGTTAAATTACAGATTTCTGGGCCTCCCTCCCATAGTTTCTGATTCTGTAGGTCTGGAGTATGTCCAGAGAATTGCATTTATAGCAGGTCCTCAGGTGATGCTGATGGTCTGAGGGGACCCCACTTGAGAACCAAAGCCCTACAGCAACTGGAATAGGGGAGGTAGTAGGGAGTTTGCCATTCTTGGTAGGGTTTCCAGCCATCTGGAATTGTTATTTGCAGTCACCTTTATAGAGATGAGCCACAATACCTTCGTTAGTTTACAATCATATATTGAGGACTTCTAGATGCTAGGCACCATGCCATGCCGTAGAAATAAAAAATTAACAAGAGGTAATCCCAGCCCTCAAGAATTTCACAATCTCTTAAGGGTTATAGATGCCTTACCCAATTACTAGACTGCAGCACTGAGGAGTTCTAAATAGTGGTAGAGCAAAATGGTATGGGAATCAAAGAGGATGGGAAACTAGTGGTGAGGTTTTCTTTACCTGATACCAACAATCTTTCC